ACTTGATTGCAACATAAGCTGTAAATAGTTCACGGTCATAAGTGCTGCAACGAGCCTCTGTATCTGTAAATTTCCTAGAGAAGAAGGAGACAGTCATTCCAGATCAGCTTAGCGCACTTCGTCTTGGACAGCTCTCTGAGCAAATCGTCGAGCGGAGCTTGAGAGTGTACGGCGTGAGGGAGACAATGTGTGTAGTAGTTGACCATTCCCAAGAATCGGCGAAGCTCCTGTGAATCCTTCGGCCTCGGGAACTTGAATATTTTCTCGATTTTGTGCTCCGGTGGACAAAAGCTTTGAGGCGATATGGTGAAACCGAGGAAGTTAACCTGTGACTTCCCGAGGTTACATCTTTCGAGCTTGACGGATAGTCCAGCCTTCCTGAGCGTATCAAAAACCAGGCGAAGGTGACGTTGATACCCCTATTGATTCTTAGAAGAGACGATGATATCAATGTATGACTGGGCAAAAGGGAGATCTCGTAGCAAAGCGTCCATAAAGCGCTGGAATGTTTGCGTGGGGTTTCTCAACCCAAATGGCATGATAAGTAACTCCAGGAGTTTGAACGATGTTGTAACTGCTGTCTTAATAACATCCTCCTCCGCCATAGGCTCTTGGTAAAAAGCCTATCTGAAAAAGTCCTTGGTAAAAAGTCCTGTCTGTAGTCAAAGCAGTTATGCAGCATATCCTCTATCACCAGAATTGAAAAGCGATCCGGCATCGTACAGGCATTCAAGCGTTGATAATCTCCAGTGGCTCTGAATTCCCACGTGCCCTCTTTGACCACCAAATGAAGCGGACTCGCCCATTGATTCGAGGAGGGACGAACGATGCGATGGTTTTGCAGGTCTCTGAAGATGTCCTTAGCGTCTTGAAGACATTCGCTGTGCAGCCGGTGAGGACGATCATGAACCAAAGGTCTAGTGGTATGAATCTGGTGCGTAACCGGGACCTCCTTGAGCATAACCCTCTGAGTCCTGGACTGAATGATATCAGCAAGTTCTGACAGTAGTCCATAGTACTGCGTGCAACAGTTGGGCTCTTGACTTTGAAGATTAGGGCTGCTAAGTAGCGAGACTGAGTGCACATGCATAGCACGCACGTATCTCAATATGTGTAATGAAGTGAGCTTGTCGACAAGGCGACGATGCTACGTGTCATCGAGTAGACCTGCATGTGCAAGGAAACCGGTGCCAAAAATAGCGCTCTCCACGTCGACAATCAAGAAAGGCCAAGTGAAAGCTCTTCGGAGCCCGAAATTAAGCGTCAGCATGCGGTAGCCGTAGGTCGCAATAGTTGAAAGATTGGCGGCAATCATCTTCAAAACACCAGGAACCAGAGGCTGTACTGAGCGTACAGCTGAGCGAGTCAGCAAAGACAATACTAAGCCGGAGTAAATCAAGAAACAGTCGAGAGATTTGTCCAGTACATGCAGGTGATTCTCTTGAAGCAGTCCGCTGCCATGGAACACCTGTACAGGCAGCAAAGGTCTTGTCAACGTAGGAGACTAGCGAGGGAAATCCAAAAGCATCCCGACGCTTTACCCAAACATTTACGAAGCCGAAAGGAAGAAACAATTCCAAATAAATAGGGAACGGAGGGACCTAGATCTAAGGATAAAAAATTTAGCCGATAACAAAGCCTTCAGTTGTAAACACGGCAACGACCCGTATTACTGTAAGTTTTGTGTACGAACATTTGAAAAACTAGGACCCATCCTGAAGAAACCTTGAATAACTAACCCTTGCGAACCATTAAAGGACCCACAACCCAAGATAAAAAATCGCAGCAAGGAGAACTTAAAGAGGCTGCATGAAGAATTGTTTGCTCCGGACGAAAACATAATAAAGAAAATTAAAAAAGGAAAGGAAGGAAAGAAGAAAAGAGAGAAAGAAAAGCAAAGGATAGCGAAAGAGATAGAAAATTTAGATAAGAGAATTAAATTTAAAGAAAAGAAAATTCAAGATTTGCTACAAAAATTATAAATAATTGGGTTTTTTTAAATAAATCGGTTAAAAAAAATAAATTCATATTATTTTTTCTCTATATAATATACCTACCCAAAAATAAATAAATAATAAAATAGTAAACGTCTCTCCTTTCCTATAAATATATAAGAATATTTTTTTTTCTTTTCCTCCTTCTCTTAATGAATAAAAAAGAATATATAAACAGATGATAAACGATTAACGCGAAGCCAAGCCCGAAATACATCTACATCTTGGACGGTAGGTATTGGTTCAGGACGGCTTAGACATTCTGACGAATTCAAGCAGCAAAATATCGATGGTAAAGAAACTATAGTTCCAAAATATGAGTTAAATAATCAATTATACCCTGACTTAGATAAATAGGCACCAATTTTAAAACTATTAACGATCTTATATCTCATTTAGCTGATATTTTGGCCTCACCTCATACAATGAACCAATTGTTAGGAGAATTAGGAAACGAATATCAGAAAAACAATGAAAAAGTTTTAACGTACGCTAATAGAATACGCTTATTAACAGCAAAAATAACTGAAGCAAATAAACGTCAAGACAATTCTGATACAATAAGTTTCACTGATAAGCACGCCCTAGAAGAAAACGCATTTGTATGTTTTAAACGTGGTCTGAAACAAGAAATAAGAATAAATCTTCCACCAGGAATCAATGCCAATAATGCCTTCAAAAAAGCCAATAAGGTAGAAAATGAATTAGAATTACAAAAAAATTTAAGAGAGAAAATTACCAACGTTCAAGATTATTTACAACCGAAATAACAATATAAGAATATGTCAAATTTGTGAAGAACAAGGACATGACGCCTTAAATTGTAATATATTTGTAAATAAACAAAAATTATGTGAATTTTGCAAAAATCCAGGACATGATATAATTAACTGTTTCGCTAAAATAAAGTTAAGTAATATAAGCTGTCAAATTTGTGGAAAAAAAGGCCATACTGAATGTGAATGTAAATCACATTTACAATGTCAAATTTGCCACAGAACAGGATTACATTTGCTAGGATACAATTGCTAGAGATTGTAGGAATCGAATAAGGACACAGGCCATCAATGAAGTTATTTGTCAGTTATGCAATAATCGAAGACATATAGCTAAAGAATGCAAAAATCAAAACCCCAAGTTCAATAATAATCAATTCTTATCTAATTAACCTTCTCTTAACCAACTTGACAGATCCAATATAGAATTCAACTTTTGTAAAAAGCGAGGGCATGTCATCGCTGATTGTTTTAAAAGGAAATGGATGGATATCCAGAATTAGAGAAACGGCCAGCAGTCCTGTGTAATTCCAACACAGAGGACAAATATGACTCGGATGGACACTAGCGAGGATCCAGAGGATATTCAACTATTCCTATAAAAAATAAAACACGATTTGCTGCAAAAGTACCAACAATAAACGTTAGATTCACGCAAACCAAAAAGGGCACCTGAAATAACGTCCGCCTCAGACGTTCCTGAGATAGTGACCCGGACGTCACACGTATTTACAATTAGACGGGTACACTTTTCGGGAAATATGATGAGAGATTCAGAAAGCCCATTAATTCTATGTCGAATACGTCTAATTGCATATATTTTACAACCCATTTTCGTAAAAAATACATACATTGAAAACTTGTAAAAATTCGTCCATTCAGGACTTAATGGGTTAATCAAAATAAGGGTATACTTATTTTGATCCTCATTACGTATTAGCAGTAATGAGGATAAACATTATATTTATTATTAATTTTCATATTTCTGTACATAAACATTGTACTAATCTATTGCTTTTTAGCGCGGGTATATAGGGATTATAAGTGACGATGCAGTATTACATTCACATAAAATATATACGAATATGATATGATTCATTGGAAAAATGATAGTATACTTAACACCTAAAATAGTATATACTTTCATTTTTTGGAAAATATAATGCGAGCAAATCATTTGGCTAATATAGATGAATCGAGCATATTTGACTCTATTGAAAATTAATTTTTGTTTTTATTTTGAGTACTTTCCAGGGCTGACCTGGGGGAGGTATAAGTTGGCTTTACATTATCAGATTCTCTTTTTATAAGAGAAAAAAAAACTGCAAAATTATGCCAAGAATTTCGATCTGAGACAATCTTTCAGCTCCAATTATATATTTACTTTAAAAAATTACCTAATTCAATGATATTGATTATTGCAAAGAAAGCTATTATAATCAATTTGCAATCTTCATCACATCATTTTTAAAATATCCCAAAATTATCTATGACTGATACAGTTACTAAATAATAAATAAACAAAAATAAAAATTATGAAAAATTAATATAGATTATTGAATATTTTGATCTGAATATTTTATTTGATGAAGATTGTGATGTTGATATTTAATACAAGCAATTGCATTCATTAAAAGTATATGAAATAAAATAACATCCATTCCATTTTAAGTAGATGTGACTACTTTCAAAATTTTTTTAAATTTTCAAAAATTGTAATTACAACATATAGTGAAATTCAAAAAGATAAATATGAAAGATTCGAATTTTCTTCACTTACCAAATGATAGGTAGTTTTTTAATTATTAAAATTTCATTTTATTAATAAACAATCACTAACAGCTTTTGGAATATGATATGATAAAATCAAAAAGTTTCTAAACAAGGATTAAAATGCATTTTAATGTTTTGAATAGCTATAAGAAACACGAAATTCAATAAAATATTTTGGAAATTATATTTAATAGAAATAAATATATTATTTGCAAAAGAAATAAGTTTATATACAAGCCCACTGATATACCTTACCTGTTTTTACAAGCTACCTAAAATAAATCTAACAATTTTTGAACATAATTATGTATTAAGTTGTTCAATCAACCTTAAATTCACAAAAAAACAGAACATTTATGATTGAAACAAAAATAGCAGGAACAGCAACAAGAATTAAAAATATATAAATGTAGGATAGAATAAAAAACATCATTAAGAAGATATAGAGGAATATTACCTTTGTCCTGGCAAACCTTCACTATATTTATTGTGTAAACATGAGCTCAAACATTGCAATACACTCAAAGATGTAAAATTTTCACTAGCAATCATTTCAAGACCACATTCTTGTCTTTTTTTTTCTTTTTTCAAAAGTTCAAAAAGTTCTGGGTCAGTTTCATAAATATTTTTTTGCATGTTCACATCCATTATCTGTTAGAAAAATATTGTAGTAAATATATAAATAATAAATTTAAGTAAATTAAAACTAAAATTGTTTTAATAAAATTAGTTTTTATTGTCACAGATCTAATATTAACATGCTCCTGTTAGATGGTATTGGCCACTGATCGATTTGATAAACATAAAAGCAGCAGTGAAAAGTATAATCTCTATTGAGCAATTCTGCTATCTAAGTAAACAGTTTCTTATGCCACTTTATTGAGCAATATATATACATGATATAACTGCTATATAAAGAAATATATTCATATACAAAATTTAACAGCAAGTTTTAATAGTTGTGAATATAAACTATAAATTTCAATTAATATTAATTATTTGTTACGATATCATAATAAACTTATTCAATAGACATACATGATGTTGCCGTAAAACAAAGTTTTCTTTTAAATATTTTGTTGATAGATTGAACAAATATTTATTTATAAGATATTTATTCTTAAGAAACATTCATTTGACAGATCTTTTAAGAGTATTCCTTAAAATTTATAAAAATTATATGAAAATAAATGAGTAGAAGAAACCAAGTGAAAGATAATTTTATTCACACACTATTAAGTATACATATCTACTAAGGAAAAAGCCGTGTTTTCATGTAAATAACCGGAAACGAGCATTAGAAATCAGGTTTAAAAAAACTTATTAAAAAGTTGATGAAAATCGTTTCCTAACAAATTATAAAAGAATTACTCTTTATTAGGTAAAAATAGCAACACTAGTGAATAATATCGCGTAATTTTGGTTTTATTAATCAAATCATTCTCAAAGATAAAAACTCCTAGTTTGTGAATAAGTAGTATGAGGGCGTGATTTTTATGCCGTTTCTGAAAAAATAAACATGTATAATAACTATAGAAAAATAACCTACATTTAATATTTCTTTTTAGAATTTTTTTTTTTTCATTCAATCGCATAAGTGATTGTTGTTTGGTTTGCTCGTATTAACAGAATTATTGATATATTAAAGAGAAAAAAATTGAAAGCTATTCTTAGATGGTCAAATTTAGTATTAGTTTTACTGGAAATTAATATATACTTTTGTTTGTCCAGAAAAAATTCTAACCTCAACATTTTTAAAATACGTAATTTCAAACGAGAAAACTGTGCTTCGAATTTCCTAAAACCTAAAATACTTTAATGCCTCATTGTTTCTAAATATTCCATAAATGTGTATATAATCTTTTAACTTTTAAGATTTATTAGAAAAATTTATAGAATCGAATTATAGTGAATTGGCGTTGCGCCACGGTATTTTTATTAACATATTTTTGTTAACAACGCTAGAACCACCCATCTATTATTTTTAACTTAAAATCGTTTTATAATTCCAAAAGCTTCATTTTGTCGAAGTTTTGTGAAATTCTGTTGAATCTATCTTATTTTTACATAAACATTATCAAAAGTTTGATTCTTTTGAGGAAATACATTCAAAATAATATTTTCTTACTTTCTAACAAATAAATAAGATAGATCTATTCATCATAATTTCATGAAACTCTGACAAAATGAAGCTTATGGAATTTTGCTATTACTATGTTAAAAAGAATAGGTGTTTACGTTGTTCAAACACTCTCCTCTCTATTAACGAAAATATAAATAAAAGTCAGCGTAGTGGTGCAACGCCAAAATCACTAAATCGATTCTATAATTTTTTATAATAAATATTAAAATTTCAAAATTATATACACTCTTGAAATATTCATAAAGAATTTAGCATTAACATTCATTGGATTTTTGAAAATTAATTCATAACACAGTTTCATTGTTTAAAGTTACGCATTTAAAAAATTTTGAGGTTATAATTTTTCCTGAACAAACCCTGCTAAAAATGACCTATTAAAAATTATTGAAATGGATTAAACTTTAATCATTTTTAATCATTTTCAATTTAACGATTCATTTCCAATCCAAACTGGATTAAAGATGAATCATTATCAATGCTATCGAATCCTAATCACAATTAATACGAAAATTGAGGATTAACTTCAATCTTTTTTAATACCTTTCAATATTTTCCAATGAAATATATTATTGAATCATAATTAATCGAATAATTATCAATATTTTCTAATAATTTTTCATAACTTCAACTTCAATAACATTTAATCAAATCTTTATGAATACCTTTCAATATTTCTTAATACATTATACCAGGGAGTAAGAGAGAAGGAGGCACAACTCCGTATACAAAAAGTGGGACGATTTTGTCGGCGAAGATCGCGACGGAATAGCCTACCCCTCGCTAGTTTCAGACCCCCCTCGTGGTTGACGCCCGTACTATATTAGCGAGCTGTTTGACCGACAATTTACCTACTAAACTCGGATGCATCACCTTTATTTTCAGAGCATACACAGTTTGTTTAAACGTCACAATGTAATATTAAACAATCGCAGTTAATTTATAACAATTATACAAAGCCTACGCACCTTTAACCTAAACCTATAAACTTAATCACAAGCTCCCACCGGGGATCCGCAACTTAAATATAACCTTCAACCTTTATATAGTGATGAAGACACGTTAGCCGTAAGGCTAAGGTTTCTGCTCCGTGATCACAAGATCACGGGGTCGAATCCTGGTATAATTTTTTTTTTAGTTTTTTGGCATTTATGAATCATTACCAGTAATATAACCAAGCAATTTAATACTTATTGTCGATGACCAAATTATATACTGTAATACTTTAATTCTCGTTTATGAAATGGGATTTGTTTTGTACACAACAATTTCATAGCATTTATTTAAACATTAAATTCTTAATTCTTTTTAGTTGGTAATTATATTTAAGAAATAAATAGAATTCGTTTGATAAAACTCATTTTTCTATAAAAAATACAATGAAAATTAATCTGCACAGAATGTTTGAGGAACAGTAATAATAATAATAATAACAATATTAATAATAATGTAAATTAATATTTACATATTTGCATGAATTATATGCCCCTGTCCAAAATTAAAAAACGATCAAAAGCACGATTATATCGTTTAAAAAAATCACTGTGTATAAAGTTATGATGATAAATAATATTTAGTTATTCAATGAAACTGGTATTAATTTTGCTCTGTTAATATAACAAAATTTAAAGATTGAATTAATTCTAATCATGTAGAAATGGTGTCGCAATTACACAAATCACGTCGTTTACATACATAATTGTCATAAAATATTATGCACTACAGTGAAATTACTTTTTGACTTTGTATCTAACATTGTCTTTTTTTCATCAGTTTGTTATTAAAAGAAAAATTATATGATTTTTACAGCGTTTAAAAAAAATACTCGACATCTATTGGTTGAATGAACCCATATTTACGCATATTCTTGTTTACTGTCATATAATTTATGAATAAGTATGAGCTTAATGAATAATAATTAATAAAAGAATATCTTACATTCTCAAAATTTAAATAACCACTTATGTCTATCAATAATTGTTTTTGATTCAATTTCATACGAGTTTATACGACTTTATGAAATTTATTTTAAGTCTTCGATAACTCATCGATAAATCGCTTTTTTTGTTGACAAACAATATTCTAGTGACAACTTCGTATTTAGTTATTTTTCATTAATCGATAATATCAAATTCTTTTTGAATAATTCAATTCTACATTGAAAATAACAAATTCAAATATTATTGACAATTAAATATTAATATGAAAAAATACTCTATTATCAATACTTTTTCCTTTCTTCTCAAATAAAAACTATAAATATTCGATAAATTCATTGTTAAATACAGTATTGACAAGTTTCTTATTTTGCCATTTGCAATTGCTTTTTTTTGCATTGTTGCAAATATTAAATTGTTATTATTATATAATTTCCAGTCGAATTTTCTACATAAAGAATAGGTTTCTAATTGTATTCTATGTGTTAATTAATATTTAATTTTATTTTGTGCGTAAAATACAAAAACCATTTACCAACTAAAAAGAATTAAGAATTTAATGTTTAAATAAATGCTATGAAATTGTTGTGTACAAAACAAATCCCATTTCATAAACGAGAATTAAAGTATTACAGTATATAATTTGGTCATCGACAATAAGTATTAAATTGCTTGGTTATATTACTGGTAATGATTCATAAATGCCAAAAAACTAAAAAAAAAATTATACCAGGATTCGACCCCGTGATCTTGTGATCACGGAGCAGAAACCTTAGCCTTACGGCTAACGTGTCTTCATCACTATATAAAGGTTGAAGGTTATATTTAAGTTGCGGATCCCCGGTGGGAGCTTGTGATTAAATTTATAGGTTTAGGTTAAAGGTGCTTAGGCTTTGTATAAGTGTTATAAATTAACTGCGATTGTCTAATATTACATAGTGACGTTTAAACAAACTGAGTGTGCTCTGAAAATAAAGATAATGCATACGAGTTTAGTAGGTAAATTGTCGGTCAATCAGCTCGCTAATATAGTACGAGCGTCAACCACGAGGGGGGTCTGAAACTAGCGAGGGGTAGGCTATTCCGTCGCGATCTTCGCCGACAAAATCGTCCCACTTTTTGTATACGGAGTTGTGCCTCCTTCTCTCTTACTCCCTGCATTATACTATTCAATCGCCTTTAATTGAATAATTATCAATAGATTCTAATACATTTTCGTGACGTCAACTTCAATAACATTTAATCGAATCTTTTTTAATATCTTTCAATATTTCTTAATAAATTATACTATTCAATCGCCTTTAATTGAATAATAATCAATAGATTCTAATACATTTTCGTAACGTCAACTTCAATAACATTTAATCGAATCTTTTTTAATACCTTTCAATATTTCTTAACAAATTATACTATTCAATCATCTTTCATTCAATAATTATCAATATATTCTAATAAATTTTCATACCGTCAACTCCAATAACATATAATCGAATGTTTTTTAATACTTTTCAATAATTTTTAATAAAACGTTATATTCAATCACATTTAAACGAATAATTATCAATACATCCTAATAACTGCTTGGTCAGTCAACTTCAGTAACATTTAATCGAATATTTTTTAATACTTTTCAATATTTCTCAATGAAACGTAATATTCAATCACATTTAAATGAATAATTTTTAATACTTTTCAATATTTTCCAATCAAACGTAATATTCAATCACATTTAAACGAATAATTATCAATAAATCCCGATAACTGCTTGACCAATCAACTTCAATAACATTTAATCAGATATTTCTCAATACTTTTCAATTTTTTCCAATAAAACATAATGTTTAATCACATTTAAACGAATAATTATCAATACATCCTAATAACTGCTTGGTCAGTCAACTTCAGTAACATTTAATCAAATAGTTTTCAATACTTTTCAATATTTTCCATTAAAATATCATATTTGATCATACTGAAACGAATAATTCTCATAACTTTTTAATAACTTATCTTTATATTCTTATGAAATTTCAAGAAAAAAATACAAGTATCATTTCTGAAAATTTCTAATTAATTGCAGTGAAATTATCAAACTTAAAGTTTTATCACGCAATTTTTTTTTTCAAGTAAAAATCAATGCATGGTGTCAATATTTT